CTAAAAAAAAAAAAGTACACCGCAAGAAAGGGGTGACACTCTACAACATCTAGAGTGCAATAGACACACCCACCAACACACACACACATACAAACACACTTTTATACACATACACACCAATAAATTTTGATTACAAAGAGTATGTTTTGAATTTTTAAAAATCACAGCTTCATCGCGATGTTACGAAACTTGGTGACTTTTATGGCATTATGTATGTGAACACACAAAAAAATTGAGGTCATGATCTGAGCATGCTAAGTGGTCTTAAAAAAATAGTCACACTTGTGGTCTTTGGTCAAAAATGACCCCATAGGAAATGAATGGGAAATTGTAAAAAAAAGAAAAAAAATGTGAATATTTGTTTTTTTGTCATTTTTTTAATAAGAAATAGTTTTTGAGATTGTTTCAACTATATATACAAATCCACCAACAACAACAACAAAAATGTGTTCATAAACAGCTGGGGAATTCACATGCCTCTCAATAGAGAGCTGTACATGCTATCTAGTGGTTACACCATGATTCTACGCTTTTTCTCTATACTGTAACCAGATGGTGCTAATTTTCTTCAAAAAATATTTTTTTTCTGAAGGCCTAGACTCTATATTAAACTAAAATACTGCATTAATATTTTTTTTGAAGAAAATAATATATATATAGAAAATAATATATATTTTTCCATGGCAAAAATAAACCATAAATATTGCATAAATATTAATAAATTCATTTAAATTGTCTCAAAATACTAAATTAAAAAGAATAAATATTATAGAACAAAAATAAATTGCATTGGTTTTACTGGGATGGAGAAAGTTTCATTTTTAGGTGTCCGGTAAGATAACAAGTGTGACTCCGAAACGAAGAGCACCTGAGGGTTAAAAGTGTTTTGTTGAATATCACACATATGTGAAGAGGTTAATAATATGTAGGGCAAATCAATTATTAGTTTACCTAATTTAAAATGTTTACCTTTCATGAATTAACACCTGAAAATGAAAATCTGTCATTTACTTGCCCTCATGTCTTTTACAACCTGTAAGACTTTCGTTCATCTTCACAACACAGATGAAGATGTTTTTGATGAAATCGGAGAGTTTCTGTCCCTTCATTGACCAATGTGTTACTACCACAATCATATTATATGATGATGAACAGACTGAATTTATGCTTACGGGTTTAGAATTTCATTCTAAGTGTCATTTAGGGATGGACGTTTAAATCTCTTGTTTCCAAACTTGCCTAGGCACCTCATTTCAGCCAATGAGGCTTTGTTACTTCATGCAAGACTGTGATGATGTATTTCTGTAGGCCAGCCCGGAAGTTGACATCACCCTGGTTTCCTTTGCATCTGGAAAATTGTAGAAAAAAGCTCTGTGACCAACAAAAATGGGTGATTTTTAACATTTACGTTCCAGTTCAAATGCAATCGGCAGCGGTGAAGAGCTATAAATGAACTAAATTACAACACAACAGTAAGTGTTGGGAAAGAAAACGCTTTGCCAAAACCATAGCACAAAACAAAAACGGAACTAGACCGTAACTAAAAATAAATGAATGGGAAAAAAAGAAAGAAAGAGGATATTACTTAAATTAAGATAAATTTAAACAATAATTAAGGTAAAAAGTTTGTAGGTCATTCAAATTGTACATGTGTTCTGAGTCCTTTGGGGTTTAGAGAAGATGAAATGAAAAAAAAAAAAATAGGTTTACATTTTGAAACCTTACAACGATTTATTATATATATATATATATATAAAGTTTTGGGATTCGTGGTGCACTAGATAACTTACATAAGGCACTATCTCTTTAAAAGAATCATACTTGAAACCAGACCTCAGAGTAATACAGGAAATATTAACTTACTTTCAATTACTGCAACTTTTAGACGAGACTCATGTTTATTACAGTAATCTAAGGTTTAAAGTCCCTCTGTGGTGAAAGTTTTTAATGTTGTTTATGTGTATATGTGGTGTTTTTAATGTGCGTTAACACACACGATGTGTAAATTCATAAGTCGACACCATTGCTGAGTATTTTCTCCTTGAACTGCAGTGAACCAAAGACGAAAAATCACTGGTGTTGCTGTTGCTGATGTCACAAACTACCTTGTAACCAATCAGGTCAACGTGTGATCGTCAACCAGTGGATCTCTGAGCTGAGTGAGTGGAGGCGGGGCTCATTTGCATATATATTTATAGAACCACGTACGTATACTAAACTGGGTGTAAAGCTATTTTAAGGCATGAATTTTTACAAGAAAAAAGAAAACACCTAAATATATTATTTTGGTGAATAAAGATTAGTTAATCAGTTAATTAGTTATTACTTGATGTAATATTCCTATTTGGAAAGCCTTTGGGGCCAAATACACGCGAATTTTAACGCGTATTTTACACGTGAAATACGCGTGACATAACCAACGCGTATACGCGTTGATTATGTCACACGTATTTCACGTGTATTTTACAGGTAAAATACGCTTAAAATTCGCGTGTATTTGGCCCTAAAGGCTTTCCAAATAGGAATATTACATCAAGTGAATTCCTGCAGGAGTGTAAAGGAGTGAAACGTGCAAAATGTACACGTAAAATACGCATGAAATACGCGTTAAAATTCGCGTGTATTTGGCCCTAAAGCCTTTCCATAGATAGAGGGCCGGCTGAAGGCTCCGCGAGACTAGCCGTCTTCAGGCTTGCAGTCCAGACTGAAACACAAGGGGGCAGCACTTCAACTGGGGCTTAACCATACAACATAAATCTAAAGCTAAAGTGTGTGCTTAACTTTCAGAACATGTTGTTCATCCTCTGATGCATAAAACCAAAGGTAAATAACACCAAACAACGCGCAAGATGTTTTATTAATTATTTAATAGGAGGTTGGTGATATTTGGGTCGAAATAGTTCTAGAAAAAAATGTCATTTTAAATCAGCTATGCTAAAATGAGTAACATGGAGAGTTAATAACACTGACAGCACACGTACATCACAGAGACGTCTATTTGATGTGTGTGTGTTTACATCTGGAATACGTATTTTTTAGTGTTTGCTCATCTGCAATAAGTCTATAGGACATTTCCTGTCAGGTGTCAAATAGACGTTTTTAGAAGATGTCTTTACACATTCAGAAACTATATATACACACAACATTCCACAGTTGTAATAGAAATCTTTATTGAAAAATCTATTCCATTAACAGATAAGCTTATCTATTATAAATTCTACAAGTCAGTCGAAATTTAACACAATAAATACAATAAGATTTGATGAACTCGAGTAAAAGGTGGTCATGAGTATAAAAAGCTTTCTAAATCATGTTGGTGCAGGATGATGTTTTAGTTTACATAATGTGGCTGTTTTAGATTATGTTTGACATTCTCCGTTGTGTTTTAAAGCTGCAAATTTTCAATATCTTACAGCCAAAAAGCGCCCGCGCCCTCAGTTCACTTGGACGTGACTGTGATTTATAAAAACGATATAAATACTGTTCGTTTTCTCACACAAACCGCTCGTTTCGTGTCTTAGTCCATCAATGTGTACAAACGAGTCATTAAATCATGTTTAATTTGGACTTCTCAGTGCATGCTTTTTGAGGTGATGACCATTGACCTCCATTATATGACCGACAGACAACAACGGTTTGACCTAAAAATATCAAAATTGAAAATACTGTGGAAACAAAGAGGAGATGATGCCCTTGAGGTAAGCTAAAACGTATCAAAAATTAATTTCAAAGTCCCTTTAACCAGGTCCCAGACATACTTACATACATGACCCATCACCCAGGCTTTGAACCAGTGTGCCTTAATGTGTATTCTCTGAAGAACGCACTTAATGTTTACAGAGCTGATGATGGCGCCTTGAGACTCAAGAGGAATAGAACAGTAAGATTTGTGTAGTGTCAAAAAAGTCTTTATAATTCACTTTGTAATACAATAAATTTGTAAAGCAGTCATTACATTAGAACAGTATTTTTCATACAACAGTATGTTTCAGTGAAAACACTATTTTAAAGGGTTAGTTCACCCAAAAATGAAAATTAAGTCATTAATTATTCACCCCCATGCTGTACCAACCCCGTAAGACTTTCGATCATCTTCGGAACACAAATAAAGATATTTTTTTATTTAATCTGAGAGCTGGATCAGTCCTACATAGACTGCCTAAGGGATAACTCTTGACGGCCCATAAAGTCATTAAAGAAAAGGTTTAAATATTCCATGTGCCTACAGCGGCTCAATTATAAGTTTATCAAGCGACGAGACTACTTTTTGTGCGAAAAAAAACATAAATAACGACTTTATTCCACTATTCCATTACTTCCTTATTGGCGCATGCGCGAGAACTGAGACGAGGACGTTCTCATTCGTCTACTTTTTGTTACCGGCTGCTCACCGCTTAGGAGTTTTACCGCCCCCTACCGTATAAAATGATGATCCATATATATATGAGCGCTCCGGATTATAAGGAACACTGTCGTTTTTTTAAAAAGATTAAAGGCTTTTAAGTGCACCTTATAGTGCGGAAAATACGCTAATTGAAAAGCGTATGTACAGCGCGCATCTTCCTCTGCTTGTAAACAGAAAGTTTTGCGCTTCCAGCTATATCAGCACATCATCTTATACGGTAGGTGGCGGTAAAACTCCTAAGCGGTGAGCAGCCGGTAACAAGAAGTAGTCGAATGAGAACGTCCTCGTCTCAGTTCTCGCGCATGCGCCCATAAGGAAGTAATGGAATAGTGGAATAAAGTCGTTATTTATGTTTTTTTTCGCACAAAAAGTAGTCTCGTCGCTTGATAAACTTATAATTGAGCCGCTGTAGGCACATGGAATATTTAAACCTTTTCTTTAATGACTTTATGGGCCGTCAAGAGCCAGTCCCTTAGGCAGTCTATGTAGGACTGATCCAGCTCGTAGATTCAATCAAAAATATCTTTATTTGTGTTACGAAGATGAACGAAGGTCTTACGGGGTTGGTACAGCATGTGGGTGAGTAATTAATGACTTAATTTTCATTTTTGGGTGAACTAACCCTTTAACAAAAACAGTTTGATTGTTTTTATGTTTTTAATTCAAAATCAATACAATAGATTCACAATAATAGCAGATAAAGCAATTTATCTCATTTTGTCAATTCACATTAGGCGCTACAGGAACTTTGAGCTGGTGCTGGGTCTATCTGGGCAGGAAGAGCGCGTTGTGTTGTTCTGCGCATACGCCGAGAGTTTCCAGACGCTGGAGGCAGCTACGTAGGGTTTAGACCTCCCCCTTTATCCCCAAGGACACATGGCTTGCGATGGCCTCTTCCATACTGGGCAGAGAGTGTTTCAGGGATATTTAGTTTGTGGATCTCCTTCATGTAGGGAAGAGGGTCTCGGATTACCTTTTCAAAAAGGAATGTCATCAAATTGATGACATAGCCTTGAAAAAATAGACATTACGCATGTTATTTATTCATTTGAAATTTATATTTACTTTATTGTGAACAACGATAAATTTGTTTAACGTACAGTGTGTTGCCTGTGATTTTAATGGCCTCATGGAGTAGATTTCTTTTTTGGTCGATGTTTTAGCCTGAGGACGATTTGAGTTCTCGTTGAAATGCATACCTGCCAAATAAAGTCTGAAATAAAAACATCAAAGTTATTAAAGACATCATTATAGAGGTTTTAGTCATATGAATTGAAAACACACCTGCACAACATCCCAAGGTAAGGATAAACCACATTCTTGTGCGCAAAACGTAAAATGACACGGTGAAAAGACTCCAAAGACGAAGTTTGAAGGTGAGGACTGAGTTTCTCCATATCTTTCATCATTCTCTGGTTTGTAAGAATCTTTTCGACAGTACATAGTGCTTTGGTTCCTGTAACCAAAATTACAAACAATTACAATTGGTTACTGGTACACACTTTCATTTTAGGGGTCCGTGTTATAGTGTAATACTACTGAGTAATATAAATGTTCCTACTATAGGGTGTTTTAGGGTTAGTTGCATGTAATCACGCATCATTTACTGTGTAACAAAGACCAACATATTTATGAAAGTAAAAATGGTCTGTACATTTACAAACGTTAACCCTCAGGTGCTCTTCGGTCATTTCTGACCGAAAAAATTTATGTTTTGAAATTTTAAAAATCACAGCTTCATCGGAATGTTACGAAACTTGGTGACTTTTATTCCATTGGGTATGTGAACACACACAAAAAATTAGGTCATGATCCGAGCATGCTAAGTGGTCGTAAAAAAAATAGTCACACTTGTGCTCTTCGGTCAAAAATGACCGACCATAGGAAATGAATGGGAAATTGACAAAAACACAAAAACTTTGAGAATTTTTGTGTGTACAATCTACAAATCGGCCACGATGCAGAAAAAAAGTGCTCGCCATTGAAGGGGTGACACTCTAAAACATCAAGAGTGCAAAACAGACATACCCACCCCTACGCACACACATACACACACACTTTTATACACAAAAACACCAATAAATTGTGATTAAAAAATCTGTTTTGAATTTCTAAAAAATCACTTCTTCATCAGAAAATTACGAAACTTGGTGACTTTTATGGCAACATGTATGTGAACACACAAAAAAATTGAGGTCATGATTCGAGCACTTTAAGTGGTCGTAAAAAAATGAGATACACTTCTGCTCTTCTGTCAAACATGACCGACCATAGGAAATGAATGGGAAATTGACAAAAACAACAATCTACAACTTCAAACTACAATTTGCAATCTACAAATTGGCCATGATGCAGAAAAAAGTGCTCAACAATGAAGGGGTGACACTCTAAAACATCAAGATTGTGATATTGACACTCACCCACACTCACAAACAGACGCACACACGCACAAATAAACACACACCTATATATTTGTTACGGTTCAGTGACACAAATAGACATGCTCATTAAATATTATTTTACATAAAGTGTTATAATTGAATGAATTGCATTGTTTTTTTTGTTTGTTTTTTGTACAAATTCAGAATAAAAAAAATGTGTATAAAATTTGCTTCCTAGCATTCTCTTTCTAACACAATGTTTAGGTTTGACTGTAATCATAATGCAAAAACTAACACTTTAAATCACTATTAAATCTAAAACTTTAAATCACTAAAAATCTAAAACTTGATAAGAAATAGTCTTTGAGATTGTTTAAATATATGTTGAAATCCACCTATAACAAAAAAAAAATAAGTAAACGTGTCCATGAACAGCTGGGGAATTCACATGCCTCTCCATAGAGAACTGTACATTTCATCTAGTGGTTACAACATGGTTCTACGCTTTCTCTCCATACTCTTACCAGATGGCGCTAATCTGCCTTCAAAAATTGTTTTTGGAAGGCCTAGTCTCTATTTTAACCTAAAATACTGTTAAAAAAATAAAAATAAAAAATGTATATATATATAAAAAAAGTTTGTATTATTTTCAATGGCAAAAATGGACCATAAATATTGCATAAATATTAATAAGTAACATCAAATTGGCTCAAAATACAAAATTAAAAAAGAAAAAATATAACCGGACAAAAATAAATTGCATTGGTTTTACTGGGATGGAGAAAGTTTCATTTTTAGGTGTCCGGTCACTTTTGACCGGGAAGATAACAAGTGTGACTCCGAAACGAAGGCTAGTGATTACACCATGATTGTACGCTTTTTCTCTATACTGTAACTAGATGGTGCTCATTTTCTTCAAAAAAAATTTTTTTTCTGAAGGCCAAGACTCTATAGTATACTAAAATACTGCATTCATAATTTTTAAAAAAAAAATTATATATATTTAGAAAAATATATATACTTTTCCATGGCAAAAATAAACCATAAATATTGCATAAATATTAATAAATTCAATCAAACTGTCTCAAAATACTAAATTACAAAGAATAAATATAATAGACAAACAAACAAAAATAAATTGCATTGGTTTTACTGGGATGGAGAAAGTTTCATTTTTAGGTGTCCGGTCACTTTTGACCGGGAAGATAACAAGTGTGACTCCGAAACGAAGAGCACCTGAGGGTTAAGCGATATATTTTGTCAATTTGAAACAAATAAATGTAACGTGGTCACCTGGTTGGAACCATTTGCTGCGATCAGTCGATTGACGGATTTCATGGTCGCACCGGGGGAATGATGGGTCGTCATGTACGTGAATGTCTTGAATATGGTTTACCAGAGACTTCCATTTTGCTACCCGCTCCACAGGAGTTTTTGAAGTGGCTGCGGTCCAGTAGACGTGGTTTTTGATGCTATGCTGCCACTTTTTCACCACCTCACAGTCCTTATCTTTGCCGATTTTTTCCAACTTCTTAGACAAGCCTGAATAAATGAGTATTTACAATATCACGTGTACTCTGGACATAATCACGTCACCCTTGAACAAAAGGAAATCATCCACATTTACAATAAAGAGGAGAAGGTACCTTTCTCCAGATGCCTGACATCGTAGAACTGCGGTATGTTTATTTCCCTCAGAAAATTGTTGATCTGTGGATGGCGATCTGTAACAATGCATTCAAGCTTCACACCATGTGCCTCTAGATGTTCAAGGCCTCGTTTTAATCCCTCCTTTTCCATATGGTCACTTCCTGCTACCTCATTTCTCTATGGGGAAGGGTGGTGTTGGTAGTTAGTGCAGTTGAATTTAGTTTATTGATGAATTGGTACTCACCTGCACTAGCTGTATGTCCAATATGATGTTGCTCTCAAGGTCCATTAAGGTATATGCACCATACTTTGCTGAGTGGCCTAAAATATATATATATATATATATATATATATATGGTCATAATAAATTATATGATTTTTTTTTTTTAAGAAAGACTAACAACATTATATACAAATGTAATTAATCGACACAGCTAACCTGGCGAGTCCGCTCTCATATCACCACCCGCTATCACTTTGTCCCCCCGGCTTAGCTGGCGCAAGACTTCCTCTTGTTCTTTCTTCCACGTATAGATTATTGCAGGTTCCAGATACATGCTGGCATGCTTTCGAAAAGTGGTGTGTGTAATCATCTTGACATGCATTGCGTTGAATACCTAAGTCGTCATACACAAAACATTTTTGTATTTAATCTGTTAATTTATATTAGTGAATTTCAGTGTTTCCTTTCCAAGTACCTTTTGTAATTTGAAGAAGGATGCGCCAGTGAAGTGTATGGCAGCAGATAACTGGAGGTTGCCCAAAGGTGTGCTGCCGACAACAGGTTGGCTTTGCCATTTTCTAAAGTATTGACAATGTGGGCACAGTTGATCGATCGCAACAAAAGAACCTTGTCTTCGAGGCCGAACGTCACAGCATCTCGTGCACACTGGGCAGGTTTCAAACAGTTGTAGGAGGCACTTTTCAAATACAATGTATTTTGTATCCCGCTCTATCGATGTACATCTTCAAACGAAAGAAAAAAACGGATTACATTCCAACAAAGTTATGTGATTTCTCATATAACGAGAATAAAGAAGATAAAATCCACTTACGGAAGTTGTGATGACTCGGCTGGCTCATATGTTGTGTCCTGACTATCAAAGTCTTCAAAAGAAACCCTTTTCTCCTCCTCCAGTTCTAGACAAGATGTTTTTGCTGGCCTAAAATCCTTCATAGGTGTTGAAGGACCTACACTTTTACATGACACCTCTGTCTGTGTTCCTATGAAAATAAATAAAATAATTTAAATGTATATTATATGTTATGTACTAAAAACATTAACTTCAACTTAAAAACAAGCCTGTATGTGATATGACAGGAAAAAATACAACCAATCAACCATTAACACCCCTTTAAAAAAATACAACGTACAATGTCACATTATACATTGAAATGTCTGAGCACTGCCACCAATAAAGACTTTTTTTTGTATAAAAACAAACCATTATAGGCACATTTGTGTTTAAAAAAGTTGACAGAGACGCTACTCACATGAAGTGCAGATATAAACACAAACCTTCGCTTCTGAATTTCGGGGCCAAGGTTGGAAAAGCCAGCTGTGATGTTAAATTCAGTTCTGTTTGACAAGCTACATCCTTCATAGTTGGACTCTTCTGTGACTGATTAGACACGTACACATCATAATTATTAGATATCAAACGATCTGTAACAATGCAATACTATCAGATTATTAATCATTTTTAAATAAAACATTTACGCACGTAAGTGTGTTGCACCATTTCTGTCGGATCCAATATAGAAGGCACAGCATCGTATTTTAATCTTAATCGGTCTGCAAATCCAGTCTCGACCTGTGTCTTGTTTACAAAACAGTCCTCGGTGAAATGTAGCGAACAGATGGTCAATGTTTTACCCACGTCAGCAGGAACTTCATTAAAAATAAAGTTTAACCACGCATTCCTGTTAGAACCCAGAGGAAGCTTGTGCAGAGACTGTTTTCTTCCACAGCCAGGCACTGCACAATATTTGGTAAACGGCATGTTTATTGTTCGGTAGCTCGATCCAGTTTGTCATCACGGGGTAGGTAGGCATCTATGTTATTTAGCTATGCTATGCGTGTCATGCGCGAGTCGGTGGGCGGGGCTAAACCGGCCGTGTTGAAGTAGGCGTTGATCTTCTTCTGCGGGGGTGTGTTTTATCCTCTTTGTTGTCATAGTTCCCCACTTGAACTGTGTTTGTAAAGAAAAGTTGAATAGAAGAGTAGCCTGGTACTCGTTTTTCCCTTCATCCTTTCTTTGGTTATTGTTGCTAGTATTGTTAATATCGTGCCGGTATTAGCCCCTCTTTTACTGTCTATGATTAGCCCTCAATCGGGTCATGGGGTCTATAATAAGATTGTGTGACTTTTCATACATTATCTATACACACACAAAAAACTGGGCTTGATTCGGTTGTTCTGAAGGTATGTAAAAAAAAAATGTTTACATATCTGGTCTTCAGGGTCAATATGACCCCACATTGAAATGAATTCCCAGACAGCAAACTGACATTGAATCAACGTGGAAACGACGTCTCTCATGACATTGAAACAACGTTGATTTTGCTCATCGAATTAACGTTGAACCAACGTCAGACGCGGCATTCTTCAAAGCTAAATGAAAATCGAAAATTGGTTTGCTTTCATAACGTTGAAACAACACGTTGATTTTAAGTTGATTTTCCGTTAGTTTTGAAAGAATGACGCGTCTGACGTTGGTTCAACGTTAATTCGATGAGCAAAACAATGTCAGATCAACGTTGTTTCTATGTCATATTTCCACCTTGATTCAATGTCAGTTTGCTATCTGGGTGGGAAATGTTAAAAAAACTAAATATATTTTCTTCATGTGTCAAAAAAAAAAATCGACATAAATCTGAATTTTACACAGAAATGAAGGCCTAGTACTAGAGCATAAATGCAATGTATCATAAAAAAAATAATATTCCATATGCAAGCTAATGGTGTAGGAATTGTGTGGTATATGGATACAAAAGTACTATATCTCCAAAAACACAGCATTCATGAATAGATAAGTAAACAAAAAAAAACGATATATTATTTGTATGATTAAAAATTTATATTTTTTGTAGAATTAATCAATTGTTGGGGTCATATAGGCCCCGAAGCCCAGAAGTGTAAACAGGAAACGAAGACCATTTGAAGGTTAAAAACAAGTCGTTTGCTGAGGCTGCTTGGACTAACAAGGACGTTTTCAGTTCTGAAACATACAGGATATTCTCATAATATGAAGACCTTTCAGATGTCAAAAGCTCTAGGAAAATTTGATTTCTCAGTTCATCACCACTTTAATATTCAACAATATTATTGATCTGCTTAAGGTGGACATTGACACAATTTTCTTCTAGAAACAAACTTGTATTATTTTCATGTCATCCCTGTGAAGCTGCTTTGATAGAATCTGTATTAACCCTAACCCAAACAGTTGAGTGTTGGCGCTTGCAACGATAAGGTCATGAGTTCGATTCCCAGGGAAAGCAAGTACCGATAAGAATGTAAATGTGTACCTTGAAATCCATGTTAGTCGCTTTGGATACAAGCGTCTGCCAAAATGCATAAATGTATATTGTACTTGACATTTTTTGTTATTATTTGGGGCGGGGGGTGGGACTACAACCCCTGAATGTTGGTAATCAAACATTAGACTGTCGCGTTCCAAGTATTTCCTTTCCTATTGCAAACATCCTTCCACATATCTTTTGTTCAACAGAAGAACGAAACTCAGACAGGTTTGAAACATCCCTTTAATTGTTCGATTCGGTCGAAGTCAGTAAGTGGAAAACACATATAACCATTTCTATTGCCATGACTGCTGTAAATGAAACAAGACTTTGTCAGGTTCAGTTGATTTATTCACCAGTAAATTAATGTAAGGTAGATTGAGTGCTGCTCAACACTTTAAACACACACCCCACTGTGTAAGGCAGTAAAAAGGCCACTTACAGGAGAAAAAAACAAAACTTCAAGGTCATCTTCAGGACAGATTGCCATAAAGCCATCATTCATTCTCAACCTCAGCAGTTCTGTGGTTTATACACATCCCCTCAATTAAAATAAATACCACCACAGCAAGAACTGCCAGAAAACGAGCCATAAAAAACAAAAACAAAAAAAAAAACCCACCAGGTCTATCTGGTCATAGGGTCTGAAGAACTGTGGGGGATTATTTTTTGATTAGAGCATTGGAGATCTGATGCATATACTGTTCTTAAATCTAATACTGACCTCTAAACATTGTACAGAAAGGATCATGCTTCTGAAAAATGAGTCCGAATTAAAAACAAATCAATCCACGTAAAACAGTCGGCTCGGTCTAAACCTCGAAGGATTCCTTAAATAGCAGCTAAATTAAAACTCGAAGGAATGACGATGAATCCAGACTCGTGTCTCTGCTATAACGTGTGGCCTTCTCTGATACGACGAGCAGCGTTTACAGTAGGACCACGAGTGATTTCACAGTAGAAGAACCCATCGGTTTCCATCACTCTTCTAGACGATTAACGGGACGCAAAAGAACGGTTCTAGATCAGACAGACAGAGTGGATGTGTGGGGTCAGTCAATGAGGGTGGGTGACGCGTTAGGCTTTCTTTTCCTGCAGGATCCCGTGCAGTTCGTCAGCGTCCTCGGCCGTTTTCACGCGCACGAGCAGCGGGACGGGTGTGCTGGGGTTCTTGTCGTCCACGGGAGGGTTTGGCACACACACCACCATCACGTTGTTTTTGCCAGTTCGTGAGCAGGGCATGGAGGAGGGCACCATGATGTTCAGCAAGATGTTCCCTATGAACAAACCAGAAGAGCCAGTAAGCACACATCAAACAGCCAATCGGAAGCCTCACTCAAGAGTGTTTTTTTTACTGGTATTCTTGCATGAAGAACGTAGTTTATTATATTCGTGCTCGTCAATAGTGAGTGACAGTTAAAAATCGCTAAGGTGGAGCCCCGCAGAGGGGCCATCATTTCATTCAAGAACGTTAAAAATAATAAAAACAGCCATTTTACCTATACATTACCAATTAGTGAAATATCAGAATATAAATATAAAAACTTAATTCAAATTAATTCATCTTAAAGGAACACTCCGACTTTTTGGGACTTTAGCCTATTCACCTTACCCCCCAGAGTTAGATAAGTCCATACATACCTTTTTCATCTCCGTGCGTGCTATAAGTCTGTTTGACGCACCCACCGCTAGCCTAGCTTAGCACAAAGACTGGATGTGAATGGTTGCAGCTTTCATACTAATCCAAATGAGTGACAAAATAACGCAAACGTTTTCCTATTTACATGTTGTGATTTGTATAGTCACATAATGTACAAATAACAAAGTCAAATGAGACACAGACATCTTTTAACCGTATAAAACCTGGGAACTATTCTCTGAAGGCGAAGCACTGCTACTTTGACGGCGTAATAACCGCATCACCGGAGACACGCCGTGGTGAGGAGCGGAGAGTTCGCTCGGTGTTTGGGTAATAGAGTCAGCAATTTATAAATAGTAAAAGCGTAGTTTACAGTCATGGGTTTTCGCTCTATTGTAAATCGCTGCGACAGTAAACAGGGGAGGTATGTTTCACAGAATTACAACTAAAAACGCTGACTGGATGAAGAAATGGCTAACTTACTCTGGATATTGATCCAAACACACCTAAGATTATCAAGGGACATTATGTTTGCTCGGTACATTTCAATGGACGACTATTTTGAAAAAATGGAATTTGCCACACGGACCATAATGTGCTGAAGGATATGGCTATCCCATCGATAGCACAGGACAAGTGGATCACCTGCGGCTGAGGTAAGTGTTTTAGATGACCTACTGTAACAGTGGTTAATGTATAACCAGAGCTAATGTAACGTTAGTGACACTATTATATGATTAGGGTATGAATATGTTTTTATCTTGATGCGGCGCGGACGCGCTTGGGAAAAAAAACGAGCGCGTATACCGCGTTGAACTTGCACCCTGCGTGCGGCGCGCCTAGTAGCCTAAATTTGAAATAACCATGGAAATAACGAACTTGAGCGTGCAAAAGGGTACGATAGGCTGTGAGTTCATTGTGCATAAAAAAAATTTTGCTATTACTTTCCCCTTATTCTATCCTATAGTAATGCAATACTGTATATTATATAGGCTACTGTTGAATACATTTGGTTCAGCTAATAAATTGCATTTAAAATATATTGATTCCTGTAATAATAATTATTTATTCATGTGATATTTATAAATCTGGGTGCGTTTTTGGTTGGAAATCAATGAAACATGGTACTGTATTACCTGGTCTCCCCTGTTTATTGTCACAGCTCATACAATAAAGCAAACACCCATGATAAACTTTGCTTTTCTATCTAACGTTAGTAATTGCTGACTCTTTATTCCAACGCTGAGCGAAGCGAACTCTCTGCTCCTCGTCACGGTGCGTCTCAGGTGATTGTTATCACTCTGCCCAAGTAGCAGTGCTTCGCCTTCAGAAAATATAGTATTTATACGGTCAAAAGATGTCTGTGTCTCATATGGCCTTGATATTTGCACACTCTGTGACTATACAAACCACAACATGTAAATAGGAAAACGTTTGCGTTATTTTGTCACTCATTTGGATTAGTATGAAAGCTGCAACCATTCACATCCAGTCTTTGTGCTAAGCTAGGCTAGCGGTGGGTGCGTCAAACAGACTTATAGCACGCACGGAGATGAAAAAGGTATGTATGGACTTATCTAACTCTGGGGGGTAAGGTGAATAGGCTAAAGTCCCAAAAAGTCGGAGTGTTCCTTTAATCCAAACTTTTAAACAGTAGTGTAATTTTAACTTTTTTTTTACAGTACTGGTCAAAAGCTTGGATTCAGATTTTTTAAAGCACAACTCAAAGACCCTTTTTTTGATCAGATAAAACTGTTCTCTATTTGAAAATAATTCATTACTGTGATGGCAAAGCTGAATTTTCAGCAGTCTAATGTTAGAATGTTAGGTCTTTTAGAAATCATTACTCCGTGTCCTAACGACACACGACTAGGGTTGGGTATCGAGAATCGAGTATCGA